CTCTCACACACACACACACACACATGGGTGCTCTCACACACACACACACACTGGGTTCTCTATACACTGGGTGCTCTCTCACACACACACACACACACACATGGGTGCTCTCCCTGCACAGCGCCCAGGGCAGCTCCTCCCCTCCCCTGCGGTTTCGGCAGCCGCAGTTTACAAGCAGCCTAACCCCGGCACGCTTCCTGCATCCGGCACAACAGGGTTTCACAACCCAGCGAGGTTTTGCAAGCGAAGAGCCCCAGACCCGGCACAGCGGGACAGCAGTTTTCACCCCGGGTGGATTTCTGGCTCTTTCTCTCGGAAGCTGCCTCATCATGGGCTGATCTCCAGCCCCGGGGCTCTACTGCAAAGTCAAATCAATAAAGCCAGGAGGCAAAAAAGCTTCCAAACCCTGGAGCTTTGTCAACCTGGGCAACAAAAGGAGGGGAAAGGACTGGCAAATCTGGGGCTCAACCCCAAAGTGGATAAAACCAGGCCACCAGAGTGGGACGTGAGATGATCCGGTTCATCCACACGGCCGAGACTTTTCAAAGGAAATATCAGCACAGTAACTATTAAACTGCTGCAGCACATAGTGGGCATCGCTCACACACCCCCTCCTGCTGCTGCTGACTCGATGTAAACCAAGAATTTGAAAAGGAAAACAAACGTTATGCTTTATAAATGAATATTGCATCTGCCACTGGTGTTCGCCCAGCACCGAGCACAAGGGGATCGGGTGAGGGGTCCTGGGCAGCAGCTGCCCCCGCAGACACCCCCAAAACTCCAGCAGCCCTGGTGGGCACTCACCTCCTGCGTCCCCAGCTCCAGCGGCCAGGACAGCTCCTCCTTGGAGAGCTCGCCCTTGCTCACCCTCTTGTTCTTCAGGGCCGGCAGCCCCAGGCCCCCGGCGTCTGCATGGGGACAAGGCAGAGCGGGCTCAGGCTCCGTGCACCCCCAATGCCATCCCCAATGCCACCCCCACACCTCCTCCCCATGGCAAATCAGGATGGGAAGAGATCAAAACCTCATCCTGGGGAAATGTGGCCAAGGTGAGCAGCGTCCTCCAGGCACTGCTGACACCAAACCACCCACCAGCCTCAAAACTGGGGGGGATCCCCTCCAACAGCAAGTGTGGGGACCCAAAAGCTCAGAGGCACCAGGAAACCATCTGCCCGCTGGTCAGGGCTTGCCACCGCTTCATTTAAAGCAGGACATGGTGAACCAAGAGGTGGGATTTGGGGACCAGGACTGGACCATCCCAAGAGCAGCCCCTGGGGTGGGTGCGGGCTCCCCACCTCCCTCGCTGCTGAGGGTTAAACCATCAAGGGGCAGAGCCAGCATCCCAGTCTGGCACCCGTTTGCACAACTGCTGGTGTGGATGTGCCACCAGAAAGCAGAAGACAGTGGAGTCAGAGGGACCATGGCCATGGCCATGATGCTGCAGCACCCAGCAAGCCCTGGGGATGGTGGCTGGGAGATCCTGGGCATGGAGCATCCCAGGCATGGAGCATCCTGGGCATGGAGCATCCCAGACAGGGAGCATCCTAAGCAAGGAGCATCCTGGGCAGGGAGCATCCTGCGCATGGAGCATCCCGGGCAGGGAGCATCCCGGGCATGGAGCATCCCGACTCACCTGGAGTGCTGGGTTTCCCATTCGCCTCCAGCGCGTTGCTAGCAGGAGCGGTGCAGTCCCTGCTGAGGAGGATCAGCCCTGCCCTGCAGTTCGCCTCATCCCGCTCGTGGCTCTTCTCGGTTTTCATGGTTGCCTGCGGAAGCCGGAGGGGAAAGGGAATTCAGCTGCGCAGGACCCCATCCCAGCTACGGCTTGAGACCCTGTTTGGAGGGGTCCTACAGAAACCAGGGGACATCCCCCCACTCCTGACACCACCCTCACGGTCCTCTGGCTGCCCAGTACACCCAGTAAACCCAGCACCCCCAGCAGTCACAGCAGAGCAGGACACAGCCACCAGCCACAGGGGGGGCAAAGTCCTGGTGCCTGTAGTGAGTCAAACTCCCCTGGAAAGGGAGAAAACTTCCCCTGTGCCCGCCTTGGCCCCCCAGACCAAGGTGAAGGGGCAGGACAGGGGTCTGTGTGTCCCCCCCAGCCCCAGGAGATGCTGCACCGACAAAGTCCACCCAGACGTCCCCCCCTGCACCCAGCAGCCCCTGCCTTCCCCCGGGTGCCCTCCCTGGATCCTGTTTTTGGAAGCAGGAGCTCCCCGGCTCTCCCAGAGGCCCCTGGGACGGCGCTAACGAAGCTGCCTCATTGCTGGGCTATGGGTCCGTGCTGTAACTTGCCCCTTCGCCAGCACAGTCATTTCGGGAGCACGCAACTCGAGGAGCAGGCAGGGCTCTGCCCACCCAAGGCCTGGGTAGGAAGCAAAATCAACCTCCCTCCCACCCAGCCCCAAAAAGACCCTGGACTCAACCCTGCCGCCCCCTCTCGCTCAGCATCGCCTCCAACTGCTTCCCAACAATTGAGATTTCTGCTTGGAGATCATCTGTCAGCACCTCCGCAAACAAAGACCAGTCGGGGTTTGATGGTTCGGGTGCCGAGGGCAGCGTTGAAACCCCAGCAACTCCCAGATGTGGAGCAAAGCAGGTGACCAGCACCCATCTCCACAGGCTAAGCCCCCAGGGGGAACATCCTGCATCCCCCCCACAGACAAAGGGGCAGGAACGGCACCACAGCGGGGCCCTAAAGCTGCGCAACCCCCCCCAGCTGTGTGCAGAAATCCCACGGCTGAGCCACATCTGCTCCCAGCGCCGGCACAAACAATTCCTGGGAGCTGCCCAGACTCGCTGGGCTGCCCCCGGCCCGGGCGGAGGGTCCCAAACACCCCCCACATACGCCGGTCCCAAAGTGGCTGCAGCCCTGCATCCCAGTAGAGCATGGCCAGGTGATGCTGGCACCAAAAGATAGCGAATTTCACCCTAAAAAATAGTGAATCTCAGAAGAAATAGGGAATCTCACTCAGAAACCCTTATGGTGAGGTGTGAGAGGACACGCTGCTCTCCTAGCATGAGGATGGGGACAGGGAGATGAGCAGTGGGAGGCTGATATGATCCAAGGATGGGAGCAGGCACAGCCACCCCCCAGCCCTGCAGGACACCTGTACCCAAAAAACCCCACTGGGACCTTTGCATTCACCCCTTTGTCAGCAGCCTGAGCCCAGGAGGTCCAAACTTGCACCTCAAAGTGGTTTTTTCCTCTCTCAGGGCCTGGAGGGCAGCCCACGGCAGGCGATGGGGTGAGCGTGGCCCTGCCAGCCCTGCACGGGAAGGGGGCGCAGTGGCCGGGACCCCCCCGGGATGTGCCACGCTCAGCTCTGCCACGTGCTCTGGGAGCTCCAAAATCGCCTTTGTCCCAGCTATAAAGTGGGGGAAAAAAGAGTTATCTCTGGGGAAGGAACCGTTCCAAAGCTGGGGACCCCTGCACCGGGGCTCTGCCCATCCACAGGACCTGGACATGGGTGTTTTGGCTCACAGGGCACAGGCAGGGCTGCTTGCTCCAGGCATTACCTGTGATCATTTAAGGACATCCCATCACCATCCCCATCCCCATCCTCTGAGACACAAGCAGGAAAGGGACCATCACACCATGACCCAAACTGCAAAGCTACCTATAAAGTCTTTCTTGCCCAAAAAGCTGCACCAAGGCAGCAGGGCTGCAGTTCCCATCCCTTCTCCTACTGCATCTGCACCAAGCCATGAAGCTGCACGCTGAGCCCGTCCTGTCTGAAGAGGGGGGTCCAGCCCCCCGAGCATCTCCCACCAAATCCACCGTCCTCGTCACCTCCTGCCCGGGAGGAAGGCTCGGCTCTTTGTCCTCGCCTCCCCTCGCAGAGACGCTCACCAACATGTGCACGCAGGGCATTACGAAAATAATAAGAAACAGAGCGCTCCCCTCGCATGCTCTGTCTCACGGGGGGAGGAGGAAAACAGCACCGCAGTGTTTGCACTGCCTAATGCACTGCAAACATCCAGGCGGGCACTGCAGCCGTACAGCTCGGACAGGAACCCACTGAGAGCAAAATAACGCCGAATTCCAGCCCCGATGCCCAAAGACTCCCCAAAATTCGGGCGGCAGCGCAGCCCCGGCACTGCCTGGTGACCAGGACGTGCCCCGCAGCCATACCCCACCGAGACAATGAACCCGCTGCCTCCGGATCCCGCCCTGCTTTTGCAATACCAGTTGCTTTATGGTTTGCCAAACTGGTTAAAGACCATGCCACAGATTTAACTGCTTCCAGAGCCTCCTGGTC